AATTGAAGAAGCTTAGTAGGAAAGGAATTTTCTGGTTGGCATTAAAAATAAAAATTAATATCACCAATTATCCAAATAGAGAGCTAATTTTTTTTTGGTCCAAAAATTTACGTTGTTCATTGCTTGCGTTGGGTGGCCGGGAATAAACTTTTGAAAAACAGACGCAGATATGTTAATTTACAAAAAACGGGTAGATAGAAAGAGAAAGATTGGTGAAAGAATTACAGAATATGTATAATATACTACTACTGTTTCAAACTCGTTTTGAAACAGTTTTTTCAAATTCCTTTCAAATTTCTAGTTTCCAGAAGACTAAAAAACCACTGGAAGAGGTTTCTGAGGAACATAGAAGGCGGACGTGTAATTACATAGCTATTTACTGAAATTATATGTGGTTGCTTAAACAACTTACCTTTGACATTTACTGTCACAACAGAGCGAGCCACAGTTCCTGGCTTGTTACGTGCTTCACAAGAATATTCGCCATTGTCCTCTTCCCCAAATTCAGTGAGAGCCAGCTTACTCTTTTTTTCATCTAATCGTGTATCTATAATTGCTCTTTCTGTTATTGTTTCTCCATCTTTTCTCCACCTTATGCTTATTGTTTCTTCGTTGACTTTGCAGGTCAATGTGAGGGTTTCTCCTTTGGTGACTGTTATGTCTGTCTCTGGAACAATTTGAGCAGAGGCTTTTCCTGCATTGGAAAAGGGGCAATTCATTACAATGCTTGTGTAACAAAACAAAACAAACAAAAACGTGGAAACGAAACGAGTCAAATGTGACCTTTTATGGGAATGCTTCGAATATGTTGCTTTAGATGGAAAAAAAAGTAAGAAAAGTGTTTCGTAGTGAGTTTCGAAAGAGTTTCAGAACAAGCTTGAAGCCTTTATGTTTTAAATTTCCTGGTTACAATTTCAATCGCCCAGGTCCTCCGCTGAAATTCTAAATCAAGGTCTTGATAATGTTCCATCTTCTCGTGTTCTTTTTTCTCCGCCCTTGTATCAACAGGACACAGCAAGTGAGTCCTGCAACACGAAGTTTTTTTCTTTTCCACCAGTATGGTAGCAGGTCTGATTTCAAGTAGATGATCGTCTGTCTAAATTCTACAGGTCCACAACAACCTCATTAGGTCGTTTTCATCACTTCCTGAGGAGAGTGGACTTACTACATTTTCTCAAGCTGACGCGGTTAAATTTCCGTGGATAAATTGTGGAAATCATGAACGCAATTAGAATCAAGAACTCTTATGACAATTCAATCGATAGAGAATACTTCATGAAAAGTCTGTCCGTATAATATTTTACGCACGAGTTGGTAATATCGGAAATCGAACAGGTGTGCGCAGTGAACGAGTGAGATTTCTGGTACAAACCGACTCGCTGTTTTCATTGTGTTTTTATTCTGCATGCTTTCTATTCCGCATGATTCTTCACAGAAGTTCGTCAGTCATCGTTTGAAAGTAGTTTGACTCGTTAAACAGTCCTGAGAGCGGATTTTTATAATTTTACGAGTGGTTTGAAAAGCGGAACTATTCCATAAAAGGATTAATTAGAATGACGTTGGTACGCTCCGCGCGTCAAAAAGCACAATACTTCCCGATTAGATGTATCGTTTTCCTCACAAGTAAACAAGCGATACGCGCCATTTGATTGGTTCCCGGCTTCTTGGACCAGCTTACGAATAACAACTTATTCCGTGCCTTTTCAGCGTGTAAATCCGTAAATCCTAAATCTGTGATATTCTCCATCCTCATTAGCTAAGTCTCATTACGAGTTACAAAAGCCATAAATCAACTTTGTGGAGGAATTCTTTCGAACGCGTAATCGCTATTCGACCTCCAATTTCGGTCACGGATGGAAGTGTCTTCGTTTTAAGTATTTCTGTCTGTTCTAGTTTCCTTGTTCAATGTAGAGAATGCCGATAATGTGTCGTATGTAAAATTGGCTTTTGCGTCTCGCTTCCTTTTTGCTATCTTCTGAGATTCTGAATCTCTCCATCTCGAAAGTCTATTCAGATTTTTCCAGATTGGGAGTGCATTGCATATAGTCAAGTATTTCGAATCAATCAACTCTCTATAGCGCCACCACTTGTCATTTTTCCTTAGCGTTACTTTCCTACCCAGATCTACGCAGTTCTTTGCGTTTGTAATCATAAAGATCCAAGGACATTAGTATTAAGCATTCATATCAACCGTTTTTTGAAGATCAGGCCCCGGTCGTTCGAAGGGTAGATAACACTATCCACTAGATAAAACTCTATCTGGTGGATAACGCTTTACGTTTCACTATCCGCCTTACTACAATTGGGCTCAGCTTGCCTAAATTTTCTTCGCGCTATTCCTTTTCTCCGT